CATCATCACCACCACCACCATATCATCATCATCATCATCATCAGCATCAACATCATCCCAAGGGGGCCCGAGGGGGCCCAAGGGGGGCCAACCCGCCCTCCCCCCCTCCTCCTCCTCCTCCTCCTCCTCCTCATCGTCATCATCATCATCATCATCATCGTCATCATCATCATCATCAGCAGCATCATGTTCATCATCATCATCATCACCATCATCAGCATCGCCTTCATCTTCATCTTCATCATCATCATCACCATCATCATCATCATCATCATGATCGTCATCATCACCATCATCATCATCAGCATCAGCATCATCATCATCATCCCAAGAAGGCCCGAGGGGGGCCCAAGGGGGCCCCACCCCCCCCCCCTCTCCTCCTCCTCCTCCTCCTCCCCTCCCTCCTCTTCCTCCTCCTCCCTCCCTCCTCCTCCTCCTCATTATCATCATCATCAGGCAGCAGCAGCATCATCAGTATCATCCTCATCCATCCTCTTCCTCCCTCCTCCTCCTGCCTCTCCTCCTCCTCGTCTCCTCCTCCGCTTCCTCCTCCTCCTCCCCTCCTCCCAAGTGTGCCTAAAGGGCCCCCCCCCCCCCTCCCTCCTCCTCCTCCCCTCCTCCTCCGCCTTCTCCTCCTCCGCCTTCTCCTCCTCCACCTCCTCTCCTCCTCCTCCTCCTCCCTCCTCCTCCTCCTCCCTCCCCCCCCCCTCCTCCCAAGGGGGCCCAAGGGGGGCCCCAGGGGGCCAACCCCCCCCTCCTCCTCCTCCTCCTCCTCCTCCTCCTCCTCCTCCTCCTCCTCCTCCTCCTCCTCCTCCTTATCCCCCTCCTCCTCATCCCAAGGGGGCCCAAGGGGGCCCAAGGGGGCCCAAGGGAGCCCAAGGGGGCCCAAGGGGGCCCAAGGGCAGGTGCGGCTGGTGGACTTTGGTGGGGTGGTTCCCGCGAGAACCCACACGTTGCCCCCCCCATCTGGCACAGTACCACCTGTTTGAAAACTTTGAGGAAATTCGAGTTATTCTGGCTGAAACTTACGCTATACTCATATCGGTCGCCACGCCGCGAACACACCACGGAACCATCCGCACCACAGAACCCAGCAGCATACGCATGGAGCTGCAAAAGTAGCGGGCATTGTCTCTTGAACAGTGCGATGTACGTGTCTGTGTCTACTGCGCCATCTCGAACTGCATAGAGCTCCCGCCGAAGCAGCAACCTTGCTGTCTTGACGTCCCCACTGAGTACGCGTCCTCTGCCATTATTTGACCGACCAGGAAACAGATCCCGACGCATGCGGAGCAGATCCGCTTGAGGCCTCTTGATGCACAGCCCACACGTAAGCAAATCATCCAACGCTTGGAGCATCGTGCTTCCCGCCAGCACCCAATGGTATACTGGACGCCAATTCAGAATCTCTCTGAACAATGGTGATGTTCATATGTGTTTCCCCCATACTTGTGCTGAAACGCGCTGATCGCCCTGTACGTGTGCTTGGAAATCGATGCTGTAATGGACATCCTGGGGGCTACGCCGTTCTTCTGAACTCTTAAATGAATACTGCCGTCGCCATCGAAATATCCCCCACGCCAATACGCATGACTGGCAGGCAGCTCGCAGGCAGACAGCGCTCGCCCTTGATGTCTGAGAGAGCGAAGCATGAACGCACGAAGCCTCTACGACATCGCCTATCAGACACGCTGAGCTCTAGCGCTTCGGGCCATGGCCACGGTGGCTTGAATGCAGCATGAACTGAACCACAATGCCTTTAGCTGCAACTGCTTGAACCAAACTGGCTACGGAAGAGGGGAGCGGGGATAAGGATGAGGACGAGGATAAAGGGGAAAGGGGAAAAGCACGAACAAAAACCCATCCATTTCTCAAGGATCCGTGCTCCTGTTCACGCGGAAGGAATGAGAGGGACGAGGAATTCCCCAGGATACTTGGGGGGACACTCGGACGCAGGGGGGCCGTCATGGGTAACCTTCGAATTGTTTGGGGTATGGGTGGATAGTGTACCTGACGTATGCTGGCTTGGGATTCAGGGTTCGCTTCGACCTCCTCTTCGACTGTCGGAGGGCTGTCTTCGGGCTCGGGACGTTTGGGGGCACTGGGGGGTCCCTTGGGCGCCTCCTGGTGGTTTCGGGGGGGGGCCTACAGGAGGGGTTCTCGAGACCTCTTGGGTCGTCTTGGCCCGTCTTACAGCTGTGTGGGAGTCCTCTGGGGCAATCTCGGCGTTCTCCCGGCTCTGTCGGACACTTCCAGATCGTGTCATGGGGCGTCTTGGAACCATACTTGGACCTTGTGGGGTCGCCTTCGGACTTTCTGCGTGCGTGTGTGGGGCCGTCTCAGGGCTGTCTGACGCGCTCCCAAAGCTCTGAGGGCTCGAAACAATGAAGCACCCAAGGTGCTTGACAGATGTTGGATGTCTGAGGCCTGCCTTGGGACCTCTGAGAGCCTCTCTCGGAGCATCTTGTGGTCGCCCAGGGCCGTCCTGGAAGCATTCTGCAGCGTCCTCGGCCGCGCCGTCGTGGAGGCCGCTGGGCGCCGTCCTGAGCCCACTTCGCAATCTTTTCTGAGGCCGAAGGAGCTCTCTCCAGAGGTCTGGAAGGGCTCCTGGGACCCCCACGGGGAGGGGGCTTCGGGAAAGCGTGCGGGCCCCGTGCCCAGAGCCCCAGACGCTGGAACCACGCGCGCGCGCTTCTTGGGCTCTTCAGCTCGAGCGCAGGCCATGGTTCACGACAAGCTGGATTCGTGTTGCCACGCCTCGTGCAGTCGGCACCAGTCTGCGCTGACTGTGGTTTTTATATCGCTCGGTCCTCGGTCCGTACCGTGCTTTACCGCGTCCTCGTAGTCCTCCAGCGGTCCTCGTCTGTCCTTCCTGCTCGCCACATCCTTTGGTATACCTCCTTTCCCCTTTCTTTGAGCTCCTCCTTTCTTGCTTCTCTCGCCTGCCGCCTCCTGCTGCGAACTTCCGTCAGTCATCCCATTCCTAGTCCAACTCTTGCTCTGCGAGGTCGGTTTGTGCGATCTTGGAGCCCTCGAATTTCCATCAATCATCACATTCCTAGTCCAACTCCTGATTTGGGAGGTCGGTTTGTGCGATATTGAAGCCCTCTTGTCTCTCTCTCTCTCTCTGGGCCTCTTTTGACGTCATCGTTAATTCGGATGGTGACTGACGTCGGCCATTCACAACTTCTCTGTGGCCCTCTTGCGGTTCTTGCGGCTTGCTCGGGGCCCCCCTGGGGTCAAAGAAAGAGGAGGAGCAGGGAGGAGACAGGCGGGAGGAGGGAGGACATCCGCCCATCCTGCGTGAGAGTCTCAACAAGAAGCTACAGCATGAGCTTCAGCGTTGCTGGGGGGGGGCCGGTGGGCTCTGCAGAGGAAGGGCGGTGGAGGGTGAGGGGGGGGGGGCGGTCTACCATTTCTGGGGTCGCTCCTGCGCCGCAGGAGGAAGGGTTTGGGGGCGGCTTGGCCGGGGAAGGGGGAAATGGGGTGGCGGCAACGCCGCCAAGGCCGCCAAGACGGCCTAAGGGAGCTCCTACAAGACCACAATGGCCCCAAGACGGACCAAGAGGCGCCCAAGAGGCCCCAAGAGTGCTCCAAGAGGATCCCCAAGAGGCAAACATCATTGATTCGCCTGTTTATATATGTTTTGAGGTGATCGCCCTTTCGACCTTCCGACGTTCCAAGACGGCCCAAGAGGCCCCCAAGACCGCCCCAAGACAACCCACGAGGCCCCAAATATGGCTCCAAGATGGCCCAAGAGAGCCCAGAAACAGCCCAAGAGGCGCCCACGATGGCCCGTTGGGGTCCAGGGACGGCCCCAATATGGGAACATGAGTCGACGATGGGTCTGCGCTCGCTAGTAGAACCTAAGCGCGCATGTGGTCATAGTCTAAGAGCGCTTTCTGTTCTGGCAAGGTCTCGCAGACATAGTCCTCCCAGGATTAGGGCATTTCGTCAGCCTGCCGTGCCGCCGAGATGCCGAGAGACAGCATGATCTGAGGGCCTGGCGTAAGCCAGGAGCCAGGGAGGTTGTTTTGTGTCGTTCGGGTTGTGACAGATTCGTTCGCATGTAGAAAAGGGAGCCGCGATCTGCAAGAGGCTGACCCAGGGTCCTTTGCATGGCCCTTGGGCTCTCAGCATCGTGACGAGGGGCCGCGCCCGAGCAAACACGTACTGATATCCTATGCGCGTCGGCCACGCAAGGGCGGCGCGCACGCGCGGAAGCCTTCTAGTAGTAGAAGCTCCGAGGCGGCCGCTCTTTGGCCCTACCGCTCGGAGAAACAATGCAGTACCAGATGTTGTTCTGAACGGTAGGGTCGGGCGTGCGTCGCCAACAGCGACATTTCGTATTAGTGTGCCCGTATGCGCCCCGAGGGATGAGAACGATCACAACGATAACGATAGCAACGATCATCGATCACAAGGACAACAACGATAACGATAATAACGATGACAACGATCAAGCATCCTCTCCTGCTGTACCCAGTGCGAGCACGTGATCGTTATGGACGTGATTGTTTTCGTTGTCGTTATCATTGATCCTTATCGTTGTCGGTGCCGCGAATGCCCCTCGAGTAAACTTGCCAAACTCCCTAGACGGCCGGCCTCGGGCCGGGCGTCGGGTCCCGGCGAGGGGGCCCGGGGGGGCGTCTCTGGTTGCATGCAGGCTGCACTGTTGCACTGCTCGGGCGCTCAGGCAGGATGCGTTGGTGCACTGCTCGGGCGCTCGGTCCTCCGCTTCGGTCGCATCTCATGGGGGCCTCGAGTGTCCTCGAGATTTCCGTCTTGAGAGTGCCTCAGCGTGCGCTGGCATCTGGCAGTCGACGGGCAAGCACAGCTGTAGCGTCGATGTAGCGTCGAGTACCGTCGATTGCTTCGATTAGCGTTGCTCTAGCCTCGATTAGCCTCCATTCTCCCTTTCCCCCCCTCCGTCCGCCTCTTCCCGTGCACCAGCGAAGCCAGCGAGTCGTAGTCTCGAATAGTGCGATCGCGGGCGTCAGGTGGAGCCCGACGCCCTGAGCAAGGTCGGCATGGACGAGGCCCGATGGAGCGTGGTCTTGCCACTTGGAGGGGGATGCAGTGGAGGGCGGAGGTGTGAGTAATTATGTCGGGGGAGCGTAAGACCCGGGTTTGCCGGGACTCGGGTTCGCCATCGTTTTTTGACGACCGCGACTCGGATTTTGACGAGGAGGAGTTTCGTGGGATGTCTGCAGCGGGAGGCCTCGTCAAAATGCAGGCCCGGCCTCGTCATTTTCTTGACGACCTCGTCGGGGATTTCCGAGTCCCCCGTACCCGGGTCTTACGTCTCCCCGATTATGGAGGGGCAGGTGTGGAAGGAGGGAGCGATGGAGAGAGTTGCAGATCGAGGGAAGGATGATGATGCAAGAGACACGAGTGGTTCGACGAGTGGGGTGGGGTACTCGTTAGGAAGAGGGATGGACGCGGAGGAGGACGAGGAAGAGCAGAACGTCGAGGACGGGGGAGGAACACGAGGGTGAGGAGGTCAGGAGGTTGAAGGGTGAGTGGTACAGTCAACCCGCACAGTAAGGATAAGCAACTTTCCAAGGTTACCTTGCATCCTCCCCTCGGCCCATCCCTGGCCGCCTTCGCTTACCGTGCCCCGGCCGCAAAGTGTCGACATGACCTTCCAAGGCCCTTGCATCCCTATCGTGCGTCCTTATCTTACGGGTTGACTCCGATGGGCAAAGTGGAGCGGGAGAGGAGCTGGAGCAGCAACACGCGAGGGGGGGTATTCGTCAGGAAGAGTGATGGATGCGGAGGAGGGCGAGGAAGAGCAGGACGTCGAGGACGGGGGAGGAACACGAGGGTGAGGAAGCCAGGAGGGTGAGGGGGGTGGGGGCAATGGGGGTCGGGGGAGGAGCTGGAGCAGCAGCCCGATAGCCCACCCGGTCCAGGATGTTGCGCATTCGTTATCGGGGGCCTATCGCCGATCCTTGGGCAGCCCCATCGGTGGGGCGGCAAGGCCTTCCACATGGACTTCAACGAGCAGATGAGGTCGATGAAGGCGAAGCTGGACCAGACCCAGAGGCTCGCAGGGCCCCACCCCATCTCGTCCTCCTCCTCGTCCTCCTCCTCGTCCTCCTCCTCCACCTTCTCCTCCTCCCGCTCGTCCTCCTCCCGCTCGTCCTCTTCCTTCCGCTCGTCCTGCTCCTCATCCTCCTCGTCCTCATCCTTTTGCTCCTCCTCCTCCTCATCCTCCTCCTCCTTTTCATTATCATCGTCATCATAATCCTTATCATCATCATCATCATCATCATCATCATCATCATCAGCATCAGCATCATCATCATCATCATCATCATCATCATCATCATCAGCATCAGCATCAGCATCAGCATCAGCATCATCAGCATCAGAGTTGTCGTTATCATCGTCATCACCATCATCATCATCATCATCAGCAGCATCACCATCATCATCAGCATCATCACCACCATCAGCAGCAGCATCGTCTTCATCATCATTATCATCATAAGCAGTATCATCATGATCGGCATCATCACCGTCACCAGCATCATCATCGTCAGCATCACCATTACCATAATTAACATCAGTAGCATCACCATCACAAGCATCATCATCACCAATATCGCCATAACCAGCATCAGCATCAGCATCATCATCAGCGTAATCATCATTATCATCAGCATCAGCATCAACATCAGCATCATCATCGGTACCACCATTAGCATCTTCATCAGCATTCTCATCATCATCATCGTCATCACCATTCGCATCATCATCATCATCATCATCATCACCATCATCACCATCATCATCATCACCACCATAATCATCATCACCATCATCATCATCAGCATCATCATCATTCCGACCTCTGTCCTCTCCTCTCTCTGACAGGCTCTCTCGGAGGCCTGGGGTCCCCAGAGGTCCCTGGAGGCCCCTGAAGGCCCAAGAGCGCCAGACACCTCGAAGAACCTCGATATCGCTCCCTTCTCTGTCACTTCTTCCTTCCCTCCCTCCCAGTCGCCCTCCCTCGCATCACCACCATCGCCACCTCCCCCTCCCACTCTCCATCCCTCCTCCCTCCATCTCGCCCTCCCCCGTAGGCCCACCACCACCTCTCCCTTCCTCCATCAGCTTCCCTCTCGGCCTGTCTGGCTGTCCCCCTCGCCCCTCCTTGTGGTGGAGAGAGAGAGAGAGGGAGAGAGAGAAGGGTGTGATGGTGGGGTCAAGTGTCGGTGGGAGGGGGAGAGGCGCGGAGTATCGTGCGGAGGGAGGGCGGAGTGAAAGAGACGGGGGAGTGAAAGAGGGGTTCAAGTGTTCTCTTGCCTACGCGTCCACAGGATGCACGGCCACTGACTGACAGAGGGGGAGAGAGAGAGAGAGAGAAAAAAAAACAAAAAAAAACAATAACACAAGAGACTAATAATCTAAACAACAAAAAAGAGCGAGACGGGGTGGCAGGAGCCTCCACCACGTCAGCCCATCTCTACAACCCACTAATGTCTTCTCCATTCTTCCCACCACCGCCAGTCTCCCTATTTCTCTTGTCTTTTCCCTTCCTGCTTCCCTCCCTCCCTCTCGCACTCCCTCACATCATCCGCCATCACTCTCGCCCTCCCCATGTACGACTTCCACATCACCCCATCGGATTCCATCTGGTATGGGACATCGCAGTCTGTCTGGGAGCTCCTGGAAGCTCAAAGACAATTCACATCTACGACAGCCGTAGGAGGGGTCGGCTGGGTTTCACAGGGCTCGATTGGGCCTCTTGGCGAGGGTAAGTTTGCATGATGTTGGTCGCTCGGGGGCTCTGGATGGCTGCACTGGACCAGGGCTGGACCCTAAACGGTGTTTTGGCGATGTTGTGGACTGTGTTCGTTTTGACTTCATTTTGCAGCGAAGGCGGAATGACGACAGCACGAAGGAACACGGAAACATAACGAAAACGAAAAACACGGTTTTCGTCGAGCCTTGCCTTGGACCATATTGTGCGGCCACGTGGCTACCTTTGGGCCTCCCTGGGGCTCTCTGAGAGCCACCTTGGGGCCCGCCGCCCAAGGATCCCCGCTCTTGGGCCGCTCGGGTGCCCTGCGAGGGCCCTCTCGATGCGTCGTGTGGACTCTCCTCGGGGGTCTGCGGGTCCCTACGGGAGCTGCTCTGGACTCCTCTGGAGGCGGCTTAGTGGTTTGGAACCGTCCTGAGGCCGCAGAAGCCCATCGGGAGTCGAGATGCGAGAACGCCAAACGTGCTGACACGTGGAAGGGCCTGGAGCTTCTGAGTGATGTCAGCCTGCCGTTCAGGGGACTCTTGGGTGATGTCTTGGACCAGATGGTGCGAGGCCTGGGTTATCTCGAGGCGTCTTGGTATTGTTTGTAGAGACACAATGGGGCCTGCTACCTACTGGTGCCCGCTCTGGGGCTCTTTTAGAGTTCATTTTGGGGGCCTCCTGGGGCGCTGGCGGGGGTCTTCGGAGCCCTCCTGGAGCTCTTCCAGGCTCCTCTCGGAGCTATCGTTGGCAATCTTGGGACCATCTCGAGGCCTCAGAAGTCCACCGGAAGCGAACACGGGAGGACATCAAGTGTGATGATTCGTGTCCCGAGGTTTGGGCGAGCCGTAATATGTGATACACGCTTATTCGTTGTGTTGGTGGTTGTGATGATGTTTGTGATGACGACGCCGATGACGCTAACCATACTGACGACGATACTGACAATGATATTGCTGGTGATGGTGACGAGGATCACGATACTGAGAACGTCGATGACGATGAAATTGCGATGACGGTGGCAACCACGGTGACGACGATGAGGTTGAGGAGGGTGGTAAACATAAGGATGATGCTGATGAGTATGCTGGTAATAGCGGTAATGAAGACGGCAATGGCGATGATGAGGACGATGAGAATGATTATGAGGAGGATGGGGACGGAGATTGGGATGGGGATGAGGCCGAGGATGGGCTTGAGGATGATGATGGTGTCGATTGTGGTGGTAGTGGTGGTGGTGGTGGAGGACGTGGTGGTTGTGATGGTGATTATGATGTTGATGGTCATGATGAGCATGTTGATGATGGTTGTGATGATGATGGCGATAGTGATGATGGTGATGACCATCATGTTGATCATGACGATGATGATGGTGGACAGGGTGGTTATGGTGATGATGTTGTTGGAGGTGATGCCGATGACGATGGTGGTGGTAGTGGTGGCGGTGATTACGACGACGATGACGATGACGACGACGATGATCATACTGATGACGATGATGACCATGATATTTCTGGTGATGGCGACGATGATGACGGTGCTGAGGACACCGTTTGCTATGACAGCGGCGACGACGGTGACGACGATGATAAGGAGGATGGTAAGCATGAGGAGGAAGAGGATGCGTATTTTGATAGTGACTGCGATAACGACGATGGAGATGACGATGACGATGGCGATGGCGATGATGGTGACGATAGTGAGGATGATGAGGATGCGGATGTGGATGGGAATGGGGATGATGATGATGGTGATGATGATGATGATGGCGGTGGTGGTGGGTGCGGTAGTGGTGGTGGTGGTGATGATGGTGGTGGAGGTGGTGGGTGTTGCGATTATGATGTTGGTGGCGGTGATGATGGTGACGGTGATGATGCTGTTGGCGATAACGATGGTGATGTGGATGATCATCATCGCGTTGACCGTAACGATGATGGCGATGGTGATGATGGTGGTTATGGTGTCGATGAGGTTGGTGCTGATGCTGGTGATGATGGTGGTCGGGGTGGCTCTGATGATGGTTGTGATGATGCCGATGCTGATGATGGTGACGATGGCGATGTGGATGATGATGCTGATGATGATGCTTGCGATGGTGGTGGTGATGATGGTGATGATGGTGACAACGACGATGACGACCACGATCACGATGACGATGGCGATGACGACTATGATGATGATGGTGATTATGATGATGACGCTGAGGATGATGATGGTGGTGACGATGATGATGGATCTGATTGTGATTGTGATGATGGCGGTCGCGCTTCTGGTGATGATGATGATCATGCAAAGGAGGAGGACTAGGACGAGGAGGATGATAATGATGATGATGATGGTGATGCTGATGATGACGCTCATGAGGAGGAGAACGATGATGATGATGTTTATGACGATGATGATGATGATGGTGATGATGATGATCCTGATGATGCTGATAATTATGCTGGTGGTGATGATGATGATGTCGATGGTGATGATAAGGATGATGATGATGATGATGATGATGATGATGATGGTGCTGATGATGATGATGATGCTGATGTTGATGCTTATACTGGCGTTGATGATGAGGATGAGGATGAGGGTGAGGATGGGGATGATTATGATGATGATGATGATGATGATGATGATGATGATGCTGCTGATGCTGATGCTGATGCTGATGATGATGCTGATGCTGATGATGATGATGATGGTGATGATGATGATGATGGTGATGATGATGATGATGATGATGCTGATGATGATGCTGCTGATGATGATGATGATGATGATGATGATGATGATGATGATGATGATGATGATGATGATCATGCTGGTGAGGACGGTGATGCTGAGTCCTTTTTGGGAGGTCTTGGTGACATGTTGGGGGCGTCTTCGAGGCTCTTGGGCCGTCTGAAGACGCTTTTTGGCCGTATGGCGTTTTTGGACTCCGTATTTGGTGTCTTTCTGTGCCGTCTTGGCGCTCACGTGGGTTTTCAGGGCTGCATTTGGCACCCTTAGAACGTTCTGGTTGTGTTTTGGAGTCCTCGTAGGCAATTGGTGGTTCTGTTGGGCCGTATTGAGGCCATCTTCAACGTTTCTTGGGCCGCCTTGAGCTGACGGAAGCCAGAACAAGTGATTATATGAGAACCCATCAAAAACCGTAGGACAAACAATGAAGGAGTTTGGCCTCTGCGGATCCTCATGGAGGGTATCTTGAAGCCCCCTTGGACCGTCGCGGGAGCCTCTTTGGCAGTCGTGAGGTTATATTTGGCCGTCTGGGTCATCATGCGCCGTCATGGAGGCAGATTGGACAATCTTGGCGGCCTTGGTGGCCTGCCAGGACAGTCTTTGAAGTCGTCTTGGGGGTCTTGAACGCTTCGGAGAAGACCAGGGAAGCATCGGATCGCCCAGGAAGCCTCTGGAGGGGGGGGGATGCACACGAGTGGGTATAGTGAGGAGGATGCCCTTCGATGATTACAGAAACCCTACCAGACAGCATTTGGCTTTGCAGCACGCCTCAACATACCAGGGGACACGGAGGCGGATCAACCTCCGTGCTTGGCTCGTTCTGGGGCCCCCTTTGGAGCCTCGCAGGCCGCACCAGGGCATTCAGGCATTCCGCCGCGAACTTGACCACGACCTGACCGGGATTCGCCTGGGGTCCTTTTCCCTCTGAGCGGGCAGCCACGCGCGTGGAGAAGAACAGAAGGTACAAGTGTGAGAGGTTCGTGCCCGAAATTCTGGCACGCCGTTGGCCCGTTGTGCCGGCGAGCTTGCAAGTGCGCCACGCATCATTAAAGAGTACGTAGTGTCGCCACGACGCCGGAGGAGGAAGTGAGGGAGTGAGGGAGGCCCTCTTTCGAAGAGAGCGCCGTTGCTATGTGGCCGAGCTCTGCTCGAACATGTGGCTATACACTGCACCTGTATTGTTACATGTTGTATTGCTCTCTGGACTACAACCAAGTTATTTAATCGCTTCGCTCATTCCGCCGGCCCATAATGTCGCACCGTGGTCGCCTGTCCGAGTGGTCGTTTGCAGTGTGGAGCTGCGGCGTCGGGAGCTGTGTAATTGTCGATAAATTTGGTGTTGTTATTTCATGGGGCTTCTAGGTGTTTGCAGTTTTCTGACGGCTTTGGTGCACATCGTGGGGGCGTGTTACCCGTGGTATCCCGCTGTGGGGCCGTTCGAGCCGGGGGAAGAGACATCTTATGCGATAGGGGAAACCTTGGGTCTTCTTGGGTCATCTTGGAGGAGGAGGAGGAGGAGGAGAAGGAGGAGGAGGAGGAGGAGGAGGACGGGAGGAGGACGGGAGGCGGAGGAGGAGGAGGAGGAGGAGGAGGAGGAGAGGAGGAGGAGGAGGGAGGAGGAGGAGGAGGAGGAGGAGGAGGAGGGAGGAGGGCGATGAGAAGCGATGAGGGGCGCCTTTGCCGTCGGATGCCGTCCATTTTCCATTGGGGGAGGAGGAGGAGGAGGAGGAGGAGGACGGAGGAGGAGAAGGAGGACAGGAGGACAGGAGGAGGAGGAGGAGGAGGAGGAGAGGAGGAGGACGAGAAAGAGGAGGAGGAAAATTAGGAGGGAGGAGGGGATGAGGAGCGATGAGAGGCGCCTTTGTCGTCGGATGTCGTCCATTCTGAATGGGGGGAGGAGGAGGAGGAGGAGGAGGAGGAGGAGGAGGAGGAGGAGGAGGAGGAGGAGGAGGAGGAGGAGGACGACGAGAGGAGGAGGAGGAGAGGAGGAGGAGGAGGAGGAGGAAGGAGGAGGGGGATGAGGAGCGATGAGGAGCGCTATTGTCGTCGTCGTCGTCGCCGCCGCCGCCGCCCGCCGCCGCCGCCCGCCGGCGTCGTCGTCGTCGTCGTCGTGGAGGGTCGAGGCTCGAGGCTGGAGGCCGAACGCGGGGGAGGAGGACCACCCCGACCCGCGTTTCCCAAGTCGCGTCTGGCTGGAGTCTTGGAGGCGTCCTGGGGGCCTCCTGAGGGGTTTTTTGGAGGCCTCCAGAGGGCCTTTTGGAGGCTTCTTGAGGCCTCTTGATGGCCTCTTGGGGGCCTCTTGGGGCCTTTGGGAGCGTCTTGGGGCCTCCTGGGGGCCTCTAAGGGCCGAGACCTTGAAATTCTGTTTCGTGAAGCCCCTCTTGGGGCGTTCTTGAAGCGTTTTGGGGGCCCTCTTGGGCCGTCTTGGAGGCCTCTTGGGCCGTCTTGGAGCCGTCTTGGGCCATCTTGGAGCCCTCTTGGGGGCCTCTTGGGCCCTCGTGGGGCGATCTTGGAGGCCTCTTGAGCCGTTTAGGGGCGTCGGGGAACCGAAAAGGTTGACACGCCCAAATCTGTCCAAAACCAATGGAAAAGCATTGTTTGTGTGCCTCTCGGGGCCCTCCTGGGAATGCACTTGGAGACCTCCTGGGGATCTTGGAGGCTTCTTGGGTCATCTTGGAGACGTCTTGGGCCTTCTGGAGGCCATCTTGGGCGTCGTGGAGCGATATTCGGGCGTCTCGGACCTCTCTCGGACCGTGTTGGGGGCGTTTTTGGGGCCCTCTTGGGCCGTCCTGGAGGCCTCTGGGGCCGTCTTGGAGCCGTCTTGGGCCGTCTTGGGGCCCTCTTGGGGGTCTCTTGGGCCCTCTTGGGGCGATCTTGGAAGCTTCTTGAGCCGTCTAGGGGCGTCGGGGAACCGAAAAGGTTGAAACGCCCAACTCTGTCCAAAACCAAAGAAGAAACATAGTTTTTTGCCTCTTGGGGCCCTCTTGGGAGTTCTCTTGGAGGCCTCTTGGGGCATCTTGGAGGCTTCTTGGGCCATCTTGGAGACGTCTTGGGCCGTCCGGAGGCCATCTTGGGCGTCGTGGAGCGATCTTTGGGCGTTTCGGACCTCTCTTGGACCGTGTTGGGAGCGTTTTTGGGGCCCTCTTGGGCCGTCTTGGAGGCCTCTGGGGCCGTCTTGGAGCCGTCTTGGGCCGTCTTGGGGCCCTTTTGAGGGCCTCTTGGGCCCTCTTGGGGCGATCTTGGAGGCTTCTTGAGCCGTTTAGGGGCGTCGGGGAACCGAAAAGGTTGAAACGCCCAACTCTGTCCAAAACCTAAGAAAAAGCATTCATTTTTGCCTCTTGGGGCCCTCTTGGGAGTGCTCCTGGAGGCCTTTTGGGGCATCTTGGAGGTTTGTTGGGTCATCTTGGAGACCTCTTGGGCCGTCTGGTGACCATCTTGGGCGCCGTGGAGCGATCTTCGGGCGTCTCGGACCTCTCTTGGATTGTGTTGGGGGCCTCTTGGGGCCCTCTTGGGGCGATCCTGGAGGATCTGGGGGAGTGTCCAGGGCGTGTCTCGGGCGTGTCCCGGGCTCCTCTCGGGGTACTTTTGATCCAGGGACCCCATGGGGCCGCCCCGCGCGCGCGAACCAGAAATACTGTTTACCAGTTGCCGGAGATCTTAGCACGCCTCTGGCCCGTTGGGCCGGCGAATTTGTAGCAGCTCGCAGAGCAGTCTCCTTTTAGCAGGTAGACGTCGATGCTTGAGAAATTGAAAGCGCGCCAGTGGATGGCCCTGAATACACAAAAGGAGGGGTGTGCTCGCAGAACCCCTCCCCCCTCCCCCCCTTCAAAGGGGGGGGGAGATGTTCAAACCCCCGGCCCCCCGAACCCCCCTCCCCCCGCCTTGAAGGGGGGGGGGGGGTCCGGACCCCCCCCCCTCCCCCCCTTGGCGGGTTCGACCCCCCCCCCCTTCCCCCCCTTTGCGCCGAACAGGGGGCTGGGGAGGAGGCCTCTCGGGTAGTGAGTAGGGAGTAGAGTGTTTTGAGTAGCGATTGGTGAGTAGTGCGTATTTGATAGTGAGTAGTGCGCAGTGAGTCGTGAGTGGTGAGTAGTGAGTAGTGGGTAATGGGTAGTGGTAGTAGTGAGTAGCGCGCAGAGGTTAGTGAGTAGTGAGTAGTGAGTAGTGGGTAGTGTGTAGTGGGAAGGAAGTAGTGAGTAAGGAATTGTGAGTAGTGCGTAGGGAGGGGAGAGTAGTGTGTAGTGAGTAGTGCATAGTGAGTGGATGAGGGAGTAGACAGTAGCAAATAGCGAGGAGCGAGTAGTGAGTAGTGGGTAGTGCGCAGTGAGTCGAGAGTAGTGAGTAGTGAGTGGTGAGTAGCTAGCGAGTAGGGAGTAGCGAGAAGTGAGTAGTGAGTAACGACTAGGGCGTTGTGAGTAGTGAGTAGGGAGGAAGGAGTCGTCAGGAGTCACTAGTGAGTAGCGAGTAGGAAGTAGTGCGAAGCGAGTAGCGAGTTGTGAGTAGTGAGTTGTGAA